GCTCCCCTCAACCTGCTGTGAGACTTTTTGTTAATGTTCAGGCAACCCAAATTCCTTTTGCAATGTAGCGGCTGTTGTTCATTTTTTTTACTAAAGTGTGAAATGTGTTGTGGAATATGAGGAGGATGAGTCTTAATTAATCTTCATTTCAGTGAACTAAAGTTTAGCTGAAGTTTAGTTAAATGTTTGTGTGTTTATAATATTTCACTGTTAACTATTCTGTGTTTTGACTGGCTGAAAAATTATTTTATTGCTTAATTTTAAAAGTTTTGGCCAAAGCTTAATATGGACATTTCAACTCCTCTCTTTGCAGCAGTTCATGTTCCAGATTTGAGGGGATTCCAGTGTTTACTCTGCAAAGTTATGCAGAGATCTCTGTAAACCTGCTTCTTGGAACAGACCCTCTAAGGAAAACCCTTTTTGTAGGATTAGATGGAGAAAGTACAATTTTGCCTACTCTAGTATTTAAGTGTATTATTTTGTTTCAAGATTCAGCTGAAAAGCTTATTTTTATATTAAGTTTTTGCTTTTATCTGATCTAAATTCCTCTGTTGGCAGTTTTGGCTGTTCCTAGATAATTTCTCTGTGAGCCAGCAGCTAGACTTTTATTTATAATTTCATAACACTGCAGCCTGATTGCCAGAATTTTTCAGTAGCGCTGGTCAAACATTAGTCATTCCACATCTGATTTTCTAGCTGAGTGTATTTGCAGCTAAAGAAAAAATCACTTAAACACAATATTTATACTGTGACACTGGGTGAGAGAACATGATTCAGCACAAAATGAGAGAGGGCTTCTGGGTGTTATCTTGAAATAAATAAAGAATGAAGTACTGTCAGTGAGATTTCAATGATTGAATCATTGATCAGCTGATCATTAATTAGAGTTGCACACTAATTTCCAGCGCTGCCAACTGATCTGAAATCAACGGCTGGTGTAACAATGCCACTGCTCGTGTGCAAGTTAAAACCAAAGAAAACCATTATTTAAAAAAACTTAAAAGTGCCACTTTTACCTATTTGGTAAAAAATAAATAAAACTAAAATGCAACAAACAAGTAAAACACACCACACATATTAATATTCTATCATATTTAGTTATAACTAATCAACATGCATAACTTAGTTCCTCAAAAGCAGCTGTGTGTGGCAGCTAAAGCTGTATATGTTCATATTGCCATCTGATTCATCTGATCCATTTTACAGGTTACCACTGTGAGCTATTTTACTTAGATGTAAATGGGTTGTTTATTTTTACACAACATTTTATGATATTGTCCCACCTTCAGTATCTAGGCCAAGGTACTCTCACCATGAAGGACATCCCTTGAGAGTTAATCAGATTATTTTTCTCCTAGGCAAGTTGGCCATCTTGAAAATCCTCATTATGCAACTCATAATGGCACCAAGTTTAATTATTCCACTGGCAGATTATGTTTCCTGGACGTATAGTAGAGTTCAGTAAAAACCAGGTGAACTGCATTCTCTGTGATGAGCTTGAAAAGATTCAGTTGCGAGTGGCTTGCGCTGTAGAGCGCAACAAACCAACATATCATGTCTTAGCTTCTCAAGAGTGAAATAAAAGCCTGTATGAGAAAATGCATCGACAAGTGGAGGGAAGTGGAGCCAGACACTAGCTTGGAGATGGGGCAGTATCTGTATCTATAGTGGGGAATATGTAGTCAACCAACGATGGAAGGAAATCCAGTAAAAGTAAATCGACACATGACAGGATTTCCAGATGTAAGAGGGATGGTCTTGGTTTATTTGTGCAGAACAAGAATGAGAGCGTTTTACTTACGGGTCATTTTCATTTCAGAAGCTGGGCCGTGACCCCTCCGATGAAGACTGCTTCTTTGACCTCCTCAGCAAGTTCCAGAGCAGCCGCATGGATGACCAGCGCTGCCATCTTGATGAGCCACAGAACGGAGACAATGGAGAAGGTGCTGCGAACTCCATGCCGTCCCTGAACGAAATGATAGGTCGGTTGATCTTTGGTATAGATCTTTACAAGCTATTTGACAGCTGAACTCTTTTCAAATGAGATGTGTGACATTCATTCTCATTGGGCTCTTCTCTCTTCTCTTAGATCCTGCAATTACCACTTCCCCCCAGACTGAGGAGCTGTTTGATTTGATTGCGAGCTCTCAGAGCCGCCGTCTTGATGACCAACGGGTTAATGTTGGTAGCCTTCCTGGCCTGAGGATTACACATAACAACCTGGGACACCTGGTGGGTGAGGGAGATCACCAAGAACCCAGTGATGACTTCTTCAACATGCTTATCAAGTGCCAGGTAAGGCCACAATTATCATATGAAGTAAAGTCAAGGGTTTAATCCTCTTATATTCTTAGTCTTATAGACTTTGGAGATACTTTCTTTTTTGTCAAGCATTCATTCAGTGGTGTCTCTAAATGATTTCATCTCCCTCAACTTCAGTCCTCCAGGATTGATGATCAGCGGTGTTCCCCGCCAGAAGCCGGGCCCCACGCCCCCACAGTGCCTGATGAAGACTTCTTCAGTCTAATCCAGCGGGTGCAGGCCAAGCGTATGGACGAGCAGCGTGTCCAGCTGCCAACAGACGACCAGGACAACCCCCAGTCCCCTGATCCAGAGCCACCTGGTGGATTTTCCAGCTAGGACTTGGTGAATAATACCGCATGACTTAATGTCAAAGAAAATAAAAGCAGACGGAAGGAAAGAAGGATGAGCCAACATTTAAAAAAAAAAAAAAAAAAAAAAAAAAACAGCACTCAAGGCTGAACTAACACGATTTTTTTAATAGCAAGACAAATTCCATGTGCAATAGGTGGTACCCTGTCAAATATTGCTCAGTGTATTATGTTATAGATGTCTAAACGTAACAGGAAAACAAGCAGGATTTAAGCTCGGTGGTGTGGGGACGAAGATGATATACTGTAAGGGATTAAATATGTACTCAATCTAATGCCTTAATCAGCTAATTTTAAGACTCAAGATTGTATACCCTGGTGACAGACATGTTTTTTAGAAGCACGTGATGGGCATACAGTGTAATATAAACAATTAGTGTGGAGACGTACCGTGTGAGTCATGGAAATCGCAAAAAGATTTAATGATAGAAACAGAATTTTACAGAAAATACAAGTGAAATGAAAGATTTGCACTGAAATCTTAATTTGAAGTCTGATCACTTTCAACAAAATATGTCAGTTCAGTTATACATGGATCAGTGCTGCTTTTATCATTACAATTTTTCTGGTTCCCACTACTCATAGAGACTGGTGTTATTTGTGCAGTAACAGTATTAGGAAGAGCCTTCCAGTGTTAAACAAACGGCTTTGGTCCGTTTAAACGTTCCACTGATTGATAACCACACATTTAAATTGACTGAACCATCAACATAAATGTTATTTATGTGCATTTAATGCATCTGTCTCTTCACACAGTTTGCAGTTACAGAGGTTACTGCGCAAATGATATGAAATAGCTGCTTGTTTTATAGATTCAAGATTAGAGATGTGTGATAATTCAAGCTCCAGTTGATGTCTCCGCTTGGCTTTTAAAGTGATGCTATCTGCTGCCCATACTGTTCTGAACATCTGATAACGGGCTACTACTTACTGCCATTTTTTATTAATTAACATAGAAATAGAAGCAGATTGATGAGATGGATTCTTCATATACTGAGGAATCTAATACAATGAACAATATTGAGTTCTAGGTTGCGGTGCTGGTATAGTGCCTCCCTGTGGTCAAAATGTTGAATTACCTCTGTGAAAAACAGAGCACACTCAGTTCTTGAATATCTGTAGGACCACACTGTAATTATGATATTCTGCTCCAAACTTTCCTCTGGTTTCAGCAACAAAGTTTTGCTAACTTGTACCATGAAATGGAGATTTTTGCAAAAAGAATAGTTGAAGCCTATTGTGCGTTTCTATCCATTTGTTGCTATGAAAACAAGAGGGATAAAAAACAACAGAAAGTAAATTTTAATTGGCTCAGTTTGAAAGTTTTTGCTGCATAAAATCCAAAATATTTGATCTTACCTATGGGCTTGCTTTTTATTCAAAAGTAGTGCTTACCTCATTTTTGTACCTCAAACCTTATAAGAACCATGAAGATACTGAATTCTGAACCAGGATGGATCATGTAATCATGTAAGTTCGTAGTGGTTATGTTTGATTCATCTCTATTTGATAAACAACACATTGGGAGCTACATTTAATATTTTTCTTTTTCTGTTTTTTGTGAATTAACATTTTTAGAAAGTACCTGGTACGCTTCTATTTGTCTTTGCCATAATTTGTACATATAAATATATTTTGTATTTATGTTCCATTTGAGGACATGAATATGTCCCTTCATGCTTTTAATAAAATGTTTCAGATGTTTCGTTGGGCTCTGGTTTTGTTTAGTTTTTTTTGGGGGGGGGTGAATAGGGTAGCTTTTGTAAAGTTTGCACTCTTAAATTCCTGTCTTTAAGCTTAGGAAAACTACATGAGTAACATGGACCTGTATTGCACAGAATTTCATTATAAAATAATTCCTAGATCCACCGAGAGCAACGCAACGATGGATTTCTCAAGCCCAATCTTTAGTGGAACAAAGAACAAAGGGCTAAACAAACCTATTGGTTCACTTCCAGTTTGTTTGCATAACCAAGATTGAGTAGGAATCTAAAGAAAAAAATGCAGTCATCTGCTGTTAGCAGCTCTGATTAATTTACATTAAGTAAAGCACAAATTTTTTATTTTGCGGGGGTACACTCATATGCAGCCATTCATTACCTAATGACCTGAATTAAAACTTACTGTCAAACACGCTGCCACCGCCCTCCCCTCCTCTCCCTCTGCCTCTAATTTCACCCCTGCCTTCTCCTGTCATTCATCCTGCTTCTCCCTCCCTCGCTCTCCTCGCCCGCCTTCTCCTTCCCCTTTACCCAGAATGCAACGCTGGCTGAGCAGGCTCAGCTGAGCTATAAAAAGGCATAGCATGGGGGAGGGAGGGCTGCCGTGCAGCAGGAACTGTGCAGACACACACACACGGGGATCCAGGGACAGCAGCCCCTTGCACTGGGATCTAGAGCCACAGCGCGAAAAGAGAGGTCAGTACAGAGGACAAAGGCTCCATAGAGGAAGAGCAGGCAGGAAATGGCTGGGACTGGGTCTAAGTGAAGGAATAGAGAGATGTCAGAGAGAAAGAGTGTGGGCAGGCAGAGTGGGCAGGGCTGTTTGATGGGATGGAGAGGCAGAATAACAGAAGACTGTAATGGTAAACTGTCATGGTTACTGGTCTCTCGACAAACTTTGGTTAGTCACACTGTTTAAAATGGTTGACACAATCAGAAAATCAGGCTTTTCTGTATCGTGCACAGGCATGGTTCTAGTATGTGTCATGCTCAGTGATGGTATTGAATAGATGATATAACTGTCTTGCTAAGGGATAACCAACCATTGATTCTTATTTTTATCTCCAGACATTTGGTTTGACATTTCATTGCAGATGGTTTGCCTCCACTCTAATGACATTTAAACATTCTCCTTCACCTACACCCATTTATGGGCATTTTCATACAAGCTGCTCTCACCTTTTAATTCTGCCATGCTTTTAGCCACAGTAAAAGGTCATTAACAGCTGATTAGTGGCTGAATGCTATTGATTCTTTTGAGATGATTTTGCACACTAAAGTGGATTAAAGCTTGCAATTTAGAACACAAACACACCCCAAAAAGCCACAGCTAACAATGAATTTATCTTGCTCCATCCTTTCACAAACATCATGGAATATCTCCCACTGCACTGACGTCAAAGGGTCCCCTGTTCTCCCTTAAAGGGACAGTACGCCCAATTAAATTGCAGAGTACCTTAGTAACCAACATTGTATAGAGAGAATCTACAAGTAGATCATGTGCTCGGTCCTGTTTTCACTCCTGTTGCTTTCAGGGGCAGTGAGTGAAAACTTCATCCGCATGTGCTCTTAGAGAATGGTTGACATGCTATCCCTTAACAGCTGCAAACTGACTGGGTCTTTTTTTAGCTGGGTGGCATGTTAAAAAACAGTAATAAGACATGAGGGCGTGACAGGCGATATGTATCAGTGTCTCTATATTTAATTTCAAGGATTGAATTACAAAAATCACGTTTGAATGTGTCTCTGTCTCTCGTCCTCTAAAGTGGTCTTCCATTCTACATTAAGAGTGCGCTCAGTTGCATGCTATTGAATTATTTATGTAGAGATTCATGCAAACAGTATGGATCAAGTCCTAGTACAAAATTCAGATGGCTTTGTCCACATAAGATGAAATCCTGTTCAAACATCTTGCTACATCTCAAGTTCTGATAAGGCCACTATTGTGAAATGTATTTGAACAAAGCCAAGCTGCATATAGTTTCACTTCCATAATTCCATGCAGTATGGTGTGTATTTCCCACACAGGCAGCGATGTAATGTTGTTTGCACCATATTAGAACCAGAACATGACTGACAAGCCAACGATGCAGGGCACCCAGAGGATGGTACCATAATAGGCCAAAGTGGGATTCCCAAACAGGCTCTGTGCTGACTCAGATGACAGTCTCCAAGTGACATTTACACAGACCACAGGGTTAATGGCTGCTGACATAAAACTGGACACCTGAGAAGCAGCACCACCAGTACTGAGGAGTACTGCAAGTGAGAACCAGAGAACAAGCTGGTAACATTTGCAGCTTTGGTGTGTACTATGCTAAAATATATCTTAATGGTGAACCATATAGCCAGATAGAAATCTGTTATTTGGACCATGTATAGTACAACTATAATTCACTTTTTTCCCTCTGTTGCAGTACAGCTACAGTGAAACATACAAACAGGTGACAAATTTAAGTAAAAACTAACATAAACTTTCTTACTAAGATGTTAGGCCATCATGTGCTGCCACTGTCTAACACGTCCGTCCAAAATCTCCCATAGTGTTCAATTGGATTGAGATCTGGTGATAGGCCATAGCATATGACTTGCATCATTCACAACCATTCAGAGACCCCTCATGCCCTATAGATGGGGGTATTGCCATCCTGGAAGAGACCACTCCCATCAGGATAGAACTGCATTGACACTCTCAGTCACTTGAAGAAAAGTTGCTCTTCTGTTTTTCCTTGCACTAATGCACGTAATCAAATGTGTGCTGTTGATTAAATTTCCTATTTACTGATGTTTTCCCCACAGATTTAAATGCAGATGTCACTTTAGCCACTGTTCCTATTGAAACTGCTGAACTGTCTGTGTGGCTGAAGCTTGTGCCATCCATGCCCCAACACTGAACCCTCTTTCAAAGCCACTTCAATCTTTTCCTCTTGCCATCTTGATACAAAATCACAACCAACTGGACCTGCTCAGCATTTTTATTTATGATAACACAGAGCACGATTGGATGTTAATTGATTAATTGTGCAGTGCACCTGTGTGGAAGTATCTGCATTTTTTTATATACATTTATTAAGGTTTTTAATTGAATTCGTCTCCTGTCCCTATATTATATCACTTTTCTTATACTATACAGTCCTTAAAGGGCCAGTGTGTAGGATTTAGTGCCATCTGGCTTTGAGGCTGCAGATTGCAACTAACTGAATACCCCTCTCCTCACCACTCCCTTTCCAATCTACATTGGTACCTGAACCTACCCTTCAGGTAATGGGAAAACGTGAAATCCCCTCTCTAGAGCCAGTGCTTGGTTTTTCTGTTCTGGGCTACTGTATAAACATGATGGGCTCTGTGGAAGATGACCCGCTCCCTAGGTAGATGTGAAGGGATCATTCTAAGCGAATGAAAACACAATAATTCTTATTTACAGTTGATTATACACTAATGAAAACTCGAATATAAATATTATAATCCATTTCTGCCAATAGATCCTCCTAAATCCTACACACTGGTCCTTTAAAGCTTATTTGTCAATCTGGCACTATCATAGGCCTAACAGCTTTGTTTGTATAGCAGGCGTGTGCCAGTGAGCAAAGCAAACAGCCACTTTGTCACGAGGTCAAATTCAAGTCTTGAAACACAAAATATTCAGCACTGTAGCTTGAGACAGACCAGGTTACTTGTTTAGCACACACACTTGTGATGTAAGTAACCTGTTGACAAGCAAATACTATAGCCACAACTGGAGTATGCAGAACTGTATGGAAAGAATGGAAACTTGATAATAAATATTGATGGTATATACTGTATAGTATTTGGCCTGTGAGAACATCCCTATAGTCAAAGTAGATGCAAAACTGGGTGGTTATTTTGAAATAGGCGACATTTTAAAATTATTTTTAGTCAGTCAGTTTAGTATTAGTCAGTTCTTTCAACCACACCCATTTTCAACCCAAGTATATAACACTGACAAGTAGCTACTTGAAAATATCTATTTACTCACAGCCCAATTACTGACCCAACCCCCTTCCTCATTCTTCTCTGTTCTGTTTCTAAGTAAGTTAAAAGAGAAGTGTAAACAGGAAATGCAATGGCTGTTGTCTTCTTTAGATATATTCAGTACGATGAATAGATAACTAAAAGTTATTCCTGTGCCAATCAAATGTTTCAGGACTAGAATTGTCATTTTTAAATAACACCACTTGATACAATCAGAAGCTTCTACTTTCCTACGACAGGTTGGCCGACTCCAGGAAGTAACAGGTTCTCATTGTTTTTCAACACCACACGAGGAAAAATAGAATTTAATTGCTGGTGGAGGGTTTCAATGGGGTTGCTGTTGAAATTTGATCACTGTTCAGACATACTGTATAAGCTACGTAGTATTCTGACGCTCATTTTTAAGTTAAGTGTGGCTACATTGTACAGTCTCTATTGATAAACACAAACATTTAAAAAATACCATTAACATTACCAGTAATATTAATAATACTACCAGTACAACTACACCTCCTGATGCATTTATGTGTTTGTGAGTTAGAAAAGAGTACACTACTGTCAAAGAAGTGTGTTTCATGTTGACAGCAGATAGTGTTGTAGTGTGGCAAAGTATTCAGTATTTCACAATGTTCATAAATGGAGTGTTTAAAATATAGAAATACTGATTCTCTGAATAGATAAAACTGTTATGCAAATGATTATATGACCTCGAATTGATTAAAAGGTGATGCAGCAATCTTGCATTCATGGTGGGAGACAATTTATTCGCATAGTCCAAAATGAATATTTGATAAACTATTAATTCTATTCTAAACACATGATCAACAAAGTGTCACCTGTCAGTGACATTAATCCCAGCCTTAACATGGAGCCTTGTGCAGACAGTCATTGTCCACTCTTCACACAACAGAGTGTCAGTTTATAATGGATTACCTAAATAAAAACAGTGTGACCTACTTAGATTATCTTGCTGTCATATCATCTGCTGTAGTGAATTTATTTATGCCTTTCTGTGTCCTTTTCTGTCCTTTTCAGTTGAAGGAAAACACTCATCTAACACAACACAATGGCAGGTAAATAATTACATATGTTTGAGTATGACTGTAAACACTTTATTAATGAGGATTTAATGATTTGGAAAATGTTCATTTGTATTTTATTATTAGTTCTGTGGAGTTATAGTAATGCAGAGCTAGGCTTGCTCCGTTTTCTTGGACTCTACTGCCATCTTTTGGTGATTTTTGAGAATACAGACGGCACCTTACCTTGTACATTCAATGATGCTGTACATAGACATAGTATTCCATAGTATTCAGAAATAAATTATGATATGACATTTACTTAACAACACAAATATTTGAGATACAAAATCTATACAAAATGCAGTAAAGATAATATAGTTCTAATGTAATGTAGTTAAGATAATTAATACAATATAGTTTAAAAAAATAAAATGAATAAATTAAACCAAAATTCTGTGTTTTCTTTTCATTTTCTGCAAGTTTGTTTAGATTTATAATTTAGATTGTTCTTGTAGTTCCCACTGAACTGTTATACCTGGCTACATAACAGTCTTAAGTGACAACAGTTGTCATGGTAACACTGTTTGAGTAATAGCACAGACCTACAGACCTACAGTCAAAACAGCCTAGTGGACCAGGAGACACTGTACCTTGTGGCTTAAAAAAATGGGAAATACCTGTACCACTGATATCATACTTCCACAAGGTTTGTTTTAGAAATCCTTTTCGTGTGAATTTAACTTTGTTAGAAAGAAGTTTTACTTATTCACACAGTTGGACTCAACTTCTTTTGTTCCGTCTTATTTCAGACAAAATTAAAGATGCCAAGATCATCTTTGTTGTGGGTGAGTTTTTTTTTTGTTTTGTCTAAGACACTGGACCTCTTACATCTATCTCCTTCATGTAACACTAATGCTTTCTGTCTCTCTTATTCAGGTGGGCCTGGCTCTGGAAAGGGCACCCAGTGTGAGAAGGTAGTTGCAAAATATGGCTACACCCACCTGTCATCTGGGGATCTGCTCCGTGCTGAGGTTTCTTCTGGCTCTGAGAGGGGCAAGCATCTCCAGGCCATCATGCAGAAGGGAGAGCTTGTGCCCCTGGTAAGAAAGTTTCATTCAATAAAAGTATTGTTTATACCTTTTCCTCCTTGTATTGATAAGAGTTTTGCAGTATAGCAAGCAAAATGTGTGCACAGATGAGAGTAAAATGATAGTTGGGGTTATTTGACGTGGGGGTTGTATGAGCTACTTATCTATAGTCAGTGTATTACTTGCAGTAGATTCGGATCAGCGCGCTCCCAGTTTGGTGAAGCAGCCAGGAGCACCGGCACAGAATCTGAGTGATGTGCAGCTGTTGAGGGGGACAGCAGCAAAAACGTGCTTTAGCCAAAAAGAAATTGCCATATTGAAAAAAAGCCAATATCAGATTAAGTGTATGCTTTATTTTGAATATTTTCACCATGTTTGTGCACAGGAATATGGTAGTAAAGTGGTGCACTTTATCTGATATTGGCTTTTTTCACGTGGCATTTTTTAAAAGTGGCTAAAACATGTTTTTCTGTCTGGCCCCGTTCACACTAGTACACCACTCAGCTTCTGTGTTGGTGCTCCCGGCTGCTACTCTAAACTGGCAGTGCGCCAATCTGAATCTACTGCAGGTAATACACTGACTATGTATAACTACTTCACACAAACCCATGTCAAATAACCTGAACTATCACTTTCAAATATGCACTTTAAGTTATTTTCCATCTTGAAGTGCTATATCATGCTGCGAGGGTTGGTCATAATATTTCGGGGCTGCTTGCAGGACACAGTCTTAGACATGATTAAGGATGCCATGATCGCCAAGGCTGATGTCTCCAAGGGCTTCCTTATTGATGGCTACCCCCGTGAGGTGAAGCAGGGCGAGGAGTTTGAGAAGAAGGTAGGAGAGGGCATGAATTTTTGGGTCTATAATTCATCCCTGCAACTATGGAGACAAGCTTAAATCACTCCCTTGTGTTTGAACTCAGATCGGCAAACCCTGCCTGCTGCTGTACATTGATGCAAAAGCAGAGACCATGGTAAAGAGGCTTTTGAAGCGTGGTGAGACCAGCGGCCGTTCAGATGATAATGAGGAGACCATCAAGAAGCGTCTGGACCTGTATTACAAAGCAACTGAGCCAGTCATCGCCTTTTATGATGGCCGTGGTATTGTGAGGAAGGTGAGTGTATGACTGCTATGCTCGTTGAACACTGACAAAACAAAATCTGACATAATGTATTCTTACATATGGTGTCGTGTTGCTTTGTCTAGATTGACTCTGAGCTGCCAGTGGATGAAGTTTTCAGCCAAGTCTCCAAGGCTATTGATGCACTGAAGTAAAACAACATGACTAGATGAGCTGTGTCTGGTTGTTGTTGTTTAATTTTTTAAAATTTATTTTCTCTGTGTCAATTTCATATGGACAAAACATGAACAACAATGGAAATTATTCAGTTTCCACTCAGCTTGGTTAACAGAAACTGAAGGCCATTAAGGATCAAAGATGCCTTAACTCCACTTCTAATCCAGCAATAAGCATCTGCAGTTTTAACATCACACAACAATGAATCTGCAAAAGGCAGTGTCTGGAAATCCATTTGTTTCTTCGAATAAGTCTTGCCTCCATTCTATGCTTAATATGTATCCAAGTGAAATCTATATACAACCATCTCCCAACCTATAAGGCACCATGCTCACTCTGGTGCAAACCTTCACTTTACACAATCCTTTCCCCTTCTTCAACTCTGCCATATCCAGAGACCATGGGAAAATAATAGACTCTCTTGTGATTATGCCATTGTACAATGGCAACAATCACCCACTGTGGACAACATTTGTTTCTATTAATCCATTTATATCAATATTTAAAGCACAGAAACTTTATAGTTTTCCATTAAGATGTAAACATGTAACATGGGTGTCTGTAAAGAGGTATATGTAAAAAAAAGAAAAATAAATTAAAGTATAAGGGTAAAACAGAAATTTGAAATTAATTTATTAGTGGTGACTGTGTCTGAATATTTAAAAAAAGCACTGTAGTACACAGGGTGACATTGTGAGGACCTACGAACAAACACATACTGTAACCCCATAAACAATGCTTCCAAGTTGAAGAAGGAAACGCTTTTCTTTTCAGAAAGCATGTAGACACAACAGGATACAGGACATTCTGCTGCAGCCATAGTTCATTACTGTTATTATAACTTTTCCTTTGAGCCGTGTGATGATCAACAGGTCTTCCTTTACCTCTCACCTTCCTCACACACACAGACACAACTAGCACACACATACACACGCACACACTTCCAGCTGGCCAAGCAAACACTGCAACAGGTATCCGGACTAGCCTCCAAGGAGAGCTCTGATCATGACTCTGCGCTGTAGGGATGAGGAAGAGGAAAGCGGCTTCTGAAAGGGGACAGGATGTGTCCGTCGGAAAGTCAATCAAGAAAAAGGCGTCTGTAAGCACTTTCATAAAGTCATCGAGGATGCTGCTTGAATGCGAGGAATGCTGCTCTTACCTCATGAAGGTGCAAAACAAAGGTGAAGAAAAGAGGGGGTAGTGGAATTCATCACGTACAACAGAGAGAGAGAAGGAAAAGAGACATGTCTGAGCCTGTGTGTCGCTGTGTGCTGAGGTTCAGGGATCACAACTTAAGTTAACCTATTATGAAATATTAAGTTAAAGGACCAACCCTTCAACTGTCAACCTTCACAGAATACTTCAGCAGACAAGACAACTAACAATTTAGTTTGTTAGTGGTAGTATAAAAAAACCTGCACCATTTTCAATTTGTTCTAAATCTTCATAATTGAATGGAAACCCTACAATAAAAGGAAAATATATCCATTTTGGATCCCTCAAATATAGCATATGTTCAGTTCACCATCATTTGGTGAAGGAAATATGGACCAGTGAATAACTAAATTGTACAACCTCCAGGGAAAAAACCTGCATCCAATCAAGCAAGGAGCATTTATTCATTCATCACACGCAGACAGATGTCAACAAAATTATTTAATGTCCTCCCGCCTCTTAGAAAAAGGCTTAATGACCATGGAGATGGGTTGATAAGCAAACTAAGGCTTCCACCAAGACAGATAATATGAACTTAAAAATTGTGTGCAGGCTATATGATTGTATGTTCACTTACTGCAGCTGCACAGCCTGATGTAATTACAAGTAGAGCAGTGTGCAAGCAGCTATTGATATCATATATCAGTTTGGTATCACCTGTGTGGGAAAAGGGTCATTTATCAGTACGGCTGCTAACACAAAAAATAAATCAGATGGAAAACATATTGTGGCAGCTCAAAAAAAAAAAAAAAAAAAAAAAATCAAAGCTTGTCAGAGACATACTGAATGCATGAATACTGTATGCATGCATGCGTAATGTATACATGCATACATAATGCTTTTGTTTCTGCTGTCAGATGACTGTATTAAAATAAAAAAAAAGGTAGTGGTCCAGAAATGCATTACATGAGGAGTCCATGAATAAATGTAACCTGGACATGCAGTCTCTCATGGGGGGCTACCATCCTTCTGATTGTGATACGGGAACATTCACAGCTTTCAACATGCCTTGCTTGCTGAGAAAGCCGCTTTTTAGACTGTTGCAGACAATTACATGTGGCATTGAGACTCTAATATAAAATTAACCAGGACCACTCCACTTGACTGAATCCTATAACTGCGCTTTCCAGCAAAAAAGCCCAAATCCCACTCAGGAGTGAGATATGATTTTGCAAATCGCATGTTTCTCTAATGAGGGCCTTGTCAATTAGCTGCCTTTAAATGTCTCTGTAAGGCTGACAGGCTTCTGTTCATCTTGTATGAGTCTTGAATATTACTGCTGCAAGGCCATGCGTCAGATCCCCCCTTGGAGGACGATAAGGAAACAAGTAAGCTGGCACATACTCTTTATTCTCTCTCTCTCTCCTTTGCTATGGACTGCGGCAGGCTGGCTGGCTGGCACCACAGAGACCCAGTGGCACCGTGCGGGAACCAGCGTCAACCTGTGATGAAAGACGATGGCCGATTGTTTCCTGTTATTGAAACACTACTCATGGGTGGGGATGGAGAGTCATGGGTAGAAAAAAAAGAAAATAAAAAAGAAAAGAAAAAAAAAGAAAGCCATTGAAGGAGAGTACTACTGTAGATGTGTCCTTTGGCCAGCCTCAGATGTGATGGAGTAGTTTAAATGAATGCCAACTGTGACATATGCAGCTATTAAATCCAAACCATGCGAACTGCTAGAGGATTGCAGTCGTTTAATTAACAAAGAATACAAGTAGTGTAAAACCGCGTCTGCTTAGTGTTGTATCCCATGAGCATTTCTTTGTTCATGCTGCCTGAAGGAATGAGGTCAAGGCAAGTTCACAGTCAATAGGCAGAATATCAACTAGTCTCAGAAAACAAGCCTCTGCGTATGACCGCTGTTAATGCAGTTTGGGTTTTTAGCACTCGAAAATGTCAATTGGCCCAATTAGTCATGAAGCACTTGTGAATCTCTGAATCATGGAGTAATTGGACTAGGCCTTTGTCCAAAGTTCGAGTACACATGAATTCAATTTAGAATTATTGAGACAGATATATTCTTATCTATAGTATCTTGTGCACGCTATAGATATAAATGGATTAAACTGATGTTCCTGAATCATAAATTCAACATATGGAAAAGGAAGGAGATATGCTTCACTTCAAACACTTCTTTCAACCTTTTCTTTCTTTTTCTCCTTTTATATCAGGGCAAGGACAAATTCAACTGAAATGCTTCACTTGCTTTTGTCACTGAATTGAGAATGAAAGAATGCCAGTGCTGTTAAAGCCAACAACACGTGGTGCACATTTAGACCCAAAGCAGAGAAAGAAGGAAACAGAGAGAGACAGACAGGGTTGCTGTTTGTATAATTTTCTTCTCTACAGCGGTTTTGCAATTATTCTAAATGCTTTTGTACCATTGTTACACTCTGGTCTACTGTATATGTCTCCTCTGCTTTGAGTTGATGATGACTCCTCTGGGTCTGTTCCGTACTGAAGGATGTTGTGTCTACTCTTTTTTTCCAGTCTATTTTTCCTCACAAAGTGGCAGAGGTGCAGCATCCAGAGATTAATGCTATTTCTTCAAGAGAAACTTTTGCTTTCTCTCGTTGTTAGATTTAAACAAATGAACCACTAATTGAGACCAAAGATCATTTTTAATATGTTGAAAAACATGATATGGAATATTAAAAAAATGTCTTACTCTCCCAGTGAGACACTGTTTGGTAGAGTGTACAGTTCACACTTTTTTTTTCTTTCATAACATTTATATTATGAATAATAGCATGAATCATAAGCTGAATTCCACGTTTCAGATCTTTCTATAACCCTTCTTTTTCAAAGCAGACATTTTGGCATGATAACAGTATAAACACAGGTGTAGCTGATAACATTAAAATTGACTGTGTTCCATTGAGTTAGTTGAGCTACAGTAGCTCCGGTGTGCTGGTGTTGCACATGCCGGCTCACTGGCAGGGTTTGCTGCTGAGACACTTGAAGGAACTGATCCATTGTCCATGAAATTTGTTCCACCTGTGCTTTTTCCTGTTATGACTGTTATGAGTATGTCAAACTGTCTGCTGTGGAAATGTCTGCACATGCTGGCTCAATAAGTATGTTTCTATCTACCTGTTTATATATGTATTTTCAATAAAATCATTTAAAAAAACCTGAATGGAGACGCTGGATCATTGTTTTTACAAGTTCTTACACTTGTCTTGAGGTGGAAAAGTTGTTGTAGTGATAAAAGCAAAAAGGAAAACAAACTTAGCAAAAAAAATCATGATGTACATAAAGCATGTGATTGAAGCATCCACTCGACTGAAGACACAAATTAATACGTGAAATAAAAATACAGTAAATGCCATATTTCCATCCCAATTTTCCACAAGGTTCACCATTGTTTGAAGTCAGACTTGAGCTCTTTTGTTATCAGAGCTCTAATATTATCTCATTGAACCATATTCCTCTGCAATTACTTAAACGATTTCCAACTAATTATAGTAGTTATAAGTAACACCTGGGCTTTTCCTGATATGATGAATCAAAAATGTCAGCAGTAAAAGAAGACCCAGTGACATGTTATTCATTTTCCTGTTGCAACTGTCAAACTTAAACCTTTATCATTTATTAGTGGTGTGTCTGAAAGCACTACTTCATTCATTCAATTACTTCTCCCAATATAACAAACACTAGTGAGCAATAAATCAAGATGTCACACACTTATTACTCATCGCCATTTTGTGTCATCACTGACAATCATAGGGTTCCACAATGATAATCTTTACATCTATAAAATGAAACACATTGC